AGATAGAAAAAGCACTAGTGGTGCATGTCAATTACTTGGAAAGGCACTGATATCATGGAATAGTAAAAAACAAGCATCAATTGCATTATCCACCACTGAAGCTGAATACATTGCTATTGGACAATGCTGGGCACAATTACTGTGGATGTCTCACCAACTGGGTGACCATGAACTCTCCTTTAAACCTATACAAATTTTTTATGATAATTCTAGTGCTATTTGTCTTTCAAAAAATCCTGTGCATCTTTCTAGAGCAAAGCATATTGATATTAAGCATCACTTTATTAGAGATCATGTGCTTAAAGGAGACATAGAAATATCTTTTGTTGGAACTACTGATCAATTAGCGGATATTTTTACTAAGCCTCTTTTAGAGGATAGATTTTGTGCATTAAGGAAATTACTTGGCATTATTTGCTTAACTAATAACCTATAGGACCTATGTGTACTACAGTATTTTCTTGCAGGTCTAATGATTGTACTTTACCCATGCATTAATTACGCCTTTGTTTTCTTTCCCTCTCTTTTCCTCTTCTTTCACATCAGTTCGTCGTTCAAAGTAGGAAAGCCAATCATCGTGTCCCTTCAACTGATACCTTTTCCTTTTTCGGACTCAACCGTCAGAAGGGTTTCTTCTTAAGGCGGAGAACCTCTTTCAATCACCTTCATCCCTGTACTCTAGAAAACCCTTCTCCTTCTCCAAAGCTCTAACCAAACCATTTTATTTCAATGGCCAAACAACCTAGAAATCCCTCTGCATCCACCAGAAAAAGTACCCGTTCCAAAACAAAAACCCCTTCTATGCCTCCAGAAAAGGTAGACCTAGGGTCTGACCACTCTGAGGGTTTCGCCTCTTCACGGGGAGATTTGTCTGATCACTCTCAAACCTTTGGAGAAAAATCCCTAGGGAAACTCCCTTTGGAAGACCCTCATGCCTCTTCTACCCAAAAGAAATCAAAGTTTGATCTCTCTGCCTCTCTAGAATCCGACCTAAATTTCTGGGATTCTCCAAATAAGGATTTCTTCATTGCTCTGAAAGACAAGCCCATTGCTCATGGTAGGGTAGTCGACCTAGACGACATGGAAGCCCTAAATTGTAAGATCAAAAACCTCTTTGTGAATCAAGGGTGGGCTAAGTTTCTCTCTATCCCTCCGCCTAAGGTCTATGAATCCTTGGTGAAGATTTTTTATGCCAATCTCCGCTCCAGTAAGCCTGACAGGTTGGAATCCTTAGTATTAGGTAAGCGCATTGTTATTGATTGTGCCCTGTTTGATTCTCTCTTTCAATGTCAATGCTCTGGTTTCCCTATGCTGTTAAAAAATACCTGGCCCGATGATTTAGAAATTTCTTTTGACCAAGCTAAACAGTGTATTGCTGAGTGTCCCTCTGCTTCCCTCCAAACCAGTTAGGTCCCAGTGATGTTAGTTTTGAAACTCGTATTCTGGCCCACATTGTAGCAACCACTCTCTTCCCTACACTAGGTCTTTTTCAACCTTCTCTCAAAGGGACATCTTCTTAGTTACTGCCTAGTGACCAAACTCAAAGTCAAGCTTTCCTCCTGGGTTATAAATTTCATGATTGAAAGTGCTGAAGATCCCACCAGTCTACCCTACGGCATGGCCATCACTCACATTCTGGAATCTCATCAAATTTCCCTTTCCGACTATCCCTTTATCACTGTCTCAAAATCCTACAACTCTAGAGCTTTTGCTAGTATACGGTATGTCAGAGTCAAGGGCTCCTGGGTTAAGAAGTACGAAGGAGAAGTTAAGCCTGCTCCTTTAGAACCCTCGTCTAAGTCTCCTGTCTCTCACCCTAGCCCTGCTGATCCCCGCTTGATGAAAAGCTTCGTGCCATCACCACTCAACTCTCTGAAATCAAGAATCTCCTCACAGCCACTCAGTCTACTGTTGGTGACATTCACGTCATCTCCAAGGAAACAGGGTCTGATGTGTCAAAGCTTTCAGGGAAATTCATGACAGGTTGGATGGAGTGAGCATCGCAGCCAATGCAAGCTTTGAACAATTGAAGGAGGTCATCTGCAATACTCTTACTTATTTCTTGCGTCGCTAATGTGGTTGTTTAAGATAATTTTTTTGTTTTGCTGTGCTGCTGGTTTGGGGCTGTTATCTCAGCCATTGGACAATTCTGTTTTCTTTTGCTTTAGGTGCTTATGATTGAACTTTAATGCTACTGTTTAATGCTATATATTTTGTGTAGTTCTTAGTCTGTTGCCTCTTTGCTGATGCCAAAAAGGGGGAGAAGAGTATATATTGTATCTGTACAGGTATAGTCGACTATGGTACAGGTAGCATCCTCCGTGGCAAGAGTCGACTTCAATCATGGACTAGTCAACTGCATGAACTGAGGGGGAGTATCCTTCAATCATGGACTAGTCAACTACATGAACTGAGGGGGAGTGCCAGGATCCTCAACTGCATACATTGAGGGGGAGTAAACCACATGGAAGTTAACTGGTGTTTATACAAATATATTATTTTGACATCATCAAAAAGGGGGAGATTGTTAGATCTAACATTAATAATGCCAATAATATGTTTGTTCAGGAAATCAATCAGAAGAGATCAAGGAATCAAGGAGCTACTACGAGATTGTTGAAGCCAATCTGAATGCTTAAGGAAAGATATCAATCAGCAAAGATTGTGGAGCTGCGATGGAAAGAATCTTTGAAAGCCTAAAACTAAGGCTTCAATCAAGGCCAACATATTCAAGGAGCAAATCAAGGAGAGTGGCTGATCTGCCAATCTTGGAAAGACCAACAATCAAGGAGCAAATCCTCATCTTCAACGGCTGGAGAAGGAAAGCGATTAAGAGCTGCCAACTGTGGAAGGACCAACAATTAAAGAGTAAAATTTCACCATCAATGACTGTAGAAGGAACGCGATCAATCTCCTCTCATCAAGGAAGAGCAACGGCTAGCAATCTTATTCTTGAAAAGAATCAATCTCTTTCCAAGGATCAAATCCCTTGGGTTGTCAAATCTCGTCTGCTCAAAGTCTTCACCAAAGTATTTATACTCAGTTTTCAGCCTTAGAAAACATATACTTTGATCGAACCAAAATTCTCTCTTTATTCTATTGCAAACAAACATTGTAGTTCTTTGAGACCTGCTGTGTAACAAGTCAGAGAAAAAGGAGAGTATAACACTGGTGAGGCATTGTATCAAAAGAAGACGAGTGTTATAGGAACTGAGTTATCACATCATTTCCATTGTACTCGAAGAAACGCATTTACTAAAGAGAACTCCCTTGCAACCCAAGGGGACTGGACTAGGATTCACATTGAATCCGAACCAGTATAAAATTCCGGTGTCTTTGATTCCTGCACTTACTTTCTGTGTTTTATATTCTACTACTATAACTGCTAGGTTATTGCATCAAGTCGACTAATTGGTAAATTAGTCAACTAATAGAGTTTAAGTTTATAAAATATACAATTCACCCCCCTCTTGTACTTTCACAAATGTCCTAATTGGGACTTATAAAAGCGTTGGAGCTATATTTTTGAGGAGATTGAGAAGTTGACTTCAATCCAAACATACATTTGTTACACTCACATGGAAGAAGCCTACATATGGATGGTCAAAGATAAACACTGATGGTAGTTATATGATTGAAAAGAGGAAAGCAGGTATTGGGGGAATTATCATTGATGATACAGTCCATGCTATGTCAAATGCTAATCTCCAGATATCCCATAGTTACAAAGAGACAAATCAAGTCGCAGACCTTTTAGCTAAGTTAGCTACTAGTCATGACAATGGTCCTATGATCTTCTGTTCTTTTGTATTGGTTCCTAGAGGTAAAATGCCCATTTCAGTTGGATAAGTGGCAATTACCTTCTCTTAGGATCAAATATGACAAACCTAATTTCAAAGTTAGTTAAATGTACATTATAGATGGTAGAGGTCATGTGCATTTTGATGTTTAAGGGGGCCTGAGTCTTTCATCACCTTAGCTTCTTTCTATTTTTTGGAACCAAGGCTCATGTCTTTTCGGTATTGTATCAAAGAGGTGAGGTATAGCCCCCTCTTTTTGGGTGGCCGCGGCACTGTTTGATATAATACAGGATGCTCAGACTACCATCTTAGTATAATTTCTATATTAGACTTACCATTGGATTAGCACACAATTTTCTATTTAAATTTGTTGAATCTAATTTAATTTTATAATTTTATCCTTTAGTTGTGTTTAGGGGTGGAAAAACAAATAAAAAGAGTTATCCATCCACATTGTCCGCTAAAAAATGGGTTGGATAATGAATTTTTTAAAAATGAGTCAAATATCCACCTAAAAATAGATAACCAATAAGTTTATTTTTTACATTTGCAAAGAATCAATTTGGGAGACTACTCTCCCAAACGTGATCATATTCAATAAGTTATGAATAATATAAATATTCATATTATTCGCCGGTTAACAAATTTTCTATCGGATCGGGTCGGGTCAGATAATTTATTCATTTTTGCATTACCCTTTTCGACCCACCAATATCAGAACCGCCCGTTTGCCACCACTAGTTGTGTTGATGTAACTAGGATGAATGAAACCACTCGAGTGCTGCCTCGTTAAGGATTAGATAGTTGTTGTATGTAATTGGTAATTTAAGAATATCAGCTAAAAGTTTTTGGTGTGACCCTTAAGTAATACTATGGATTTATGTCTCACGAGAAGAAACCATTCCTCTTTTTCGCACACACAAGTTGCTGCATATTCATGCTCTTGGTGCTTTCGTAATTAAATCATGTTCCCAAGCGAAGCAAGAAACTTCAATCAAATAACTCTTAATCAATGGGAGCTGATCACGTTTACCATTCAATTACATAACGAATGAAATACATGTACCAACCTGTAGCAAGTTAAACGTTCATTATAGGTCCTAACATGTGAAATTCACTCGATTACTAAACCTATAATATAATTCTGTTAATCTTCCTCACTTTGGCTTAAACCTTCACTAGCTCTTTAGCATTGGAAGAATGTCATTAGTGAAAAGCAGTAGCACTGATTCCGCAAATGCATTTATCCTAATTAAACAAAAAACTTTGTCCAACAACCTGAATGGAATTTTATGCAAATCCCTGGTCTTTGTAACCCTAATTCTATATCTAGTTTACTTTTTCTTGTCCAACCATCCATGTTGTCAATCATCCCTGTTACTCTTCCAAAGAAGAATCAAGTCAAAGCAATATTACTACAATAAAACGTCCCACATTTCACCTACGAATATTAGCCACATAGTTTTTGGAATTGCAGGCTCATCAAATACATGGGGAAACAAAAAATGGTATATCCATTCTTGGTGGAAACCAAATATAACAAGGGGATATCTTTTCTTAGATAGAACCCCAAATGAGCACCTACCTTGGCCTTCTTCCTCTCCTCCTTTTAAAATATCTGATGACAATTCACGATATGCGCTTTACAACAAGCACGGAATGCCATTTGCAATCAGAATGTTGAGAGTGATTGAGGAAACATTCAATGTGGAGCACAGTCCAGGGGTCAGGTGGTACGTTATGGCGGACGATGACACTGTGCTATTGATTGACAATTTGGTCGATGTTCTTTCTATGTATGATCACAGAAAGTACTATTATGTTGGGATGAATTCGGAGTGTCTTGTCAGTAACTTTGGTATGTCGTTTCAAATGGCATTTGGTGGAGCTGGTTATGCTTTAAGTTATCCCTTAGCTCAAGCTGTGGCTAAGAACATGGATACATGTATCAAGAGGTATCCATTTTTATATGGCAGTGACCACATTTTACAAGCATGTATTGCTGATTTAGGCGTCACCATTACACTAGAAAATGGGTTTCATCAGGTTTGTAATCAAACTCTTTATATTGTTATCTTAGAGTATGTTTGATATGATATAAGTCTTTTAATCTTTTTCAGAAAAATATTTCGAATAAGAAAGTTATTTTCTAGTGTTTGATATCAGATGGGAGAAAATAATTCTCCTCACTTGTGGACGGAAATTTTCCTCATTATCTTAACTTTTAATTTCATATCACCTCTTTAAAATAAAATTATGCCATATGGTGGCGTCTTTTAATTTTATATCACTTGCTCTAACTAATAACACCTACTAAATATTACTCTCTCCGTTGTGAATCTATTTTCTTTTTGGTCCTTCCAAAAAGAATGACCCCTTTTTAAATTTGAAAACAATTTAGCTTAAACTTACAATTCTACCATTAATGAGAAGCTTTTATGACCACACAAATACTCTGGACCTCTTTTGACTTGTTTAAAATACACAAATTTCAAAAAGTCTTTATTTTTTCTTAAACTTCGTGTCCAGTCAAACAGGTTCACATAAATTAGAACGGAGGGAGTAGCACTTATTATCAAGCACACTTTGCATAGTTAACCTGATTTTACATCATCATCATCCGGAAACTCAAAAGAAATTCCTGACATTTACTTTGGTTGTTTCACACAGATTGACCTGCGACGTGACATATCTGGTTTTTTATCAGCACATCCTCAGTCTCCATTCCTATCTCTCCATCACCTTGACTTAGTAGCTCCAATTTTCCCTCTAATGAACCATCACGAGGCCGTAAACCATCTAATGACAGCAGCAAGAGTAGACCAATCCAGATTATTACAGCAAAGCACATGCTACCTAACGAAGTACAATTGGACATTCTCAGTGTCATGGGGCTATTCCATTAACATCTATGAGAAGATTCACTCTCCAAGTTTTCTTGAAAGACCCCTTGAGACATTTTCCGAATGGAGGAAAGGAGCAAGGCCACCTTACATGTTTAATGTTAGACAATTAACTAATGATTCTTGTGAAATTCCTCATGTTCTCTTCTTTGATGCTGTCGACGGAACAAGATTAGACCACATTGTTACGAGATACACCAAGAGAACTCCAAGGGCGATGACGGCTTGTGGGTCGAGCGGCAATCATTCTGCGGATGATGTCTCAAAAATTCGTGTCTTTTCTCCCATGCATAAGCTTCATGTAGGGGTAAGTATACTTGTATATACGCATCCCCTTTTATTCTAAACGATGCTATTCTACAAAAAAAAAAATAATAATAATAATAATAATAATACTAGTAATACTCGTGGTCTTAAACATGTGATGATATTTCTATGACTATACGGAAATATATATTTTTAAGGATATAATAAAAAGTCTAAAGAAAAAAGTTTTTGAATAAAAGAAGGTGACAATTTTTTGGAATACAATAAAAAAGAACAAGAAAAAGAGCTACGTAAAATGATAAAAGAGGAATACTAATCATTGTAAAGTAAAAACGAAGAACATACAAGTAAAACTTTACGAGTTTTCGTAGAATAAGTTCAGTATACTTTTAGATAAAATAAATCCTAAGACATCGGGCGGGGTAGGGTTTTATAAAATTGTTTGACTTTTAGTTTCCGACTGAATCCGTCGAAATAATTTATCCCGGATTTTTGCGCCAAACGTGCGATCAATGTTGTCGGAAATATAGTCGAAAGAATTAAAAAAAAATATTCTCCATCCGTTCCAATTTATGTGAACCTGTTTGACTAGGCACGACATTTAAGAAAAAATGAAGACTTTTGGAATTTGTGGTCCTAAACAAGTCATGAAGGGGCCCAGAGTATTTGTGTGGTTATAAAAGCTTCTCATTAAGGGTAGAATTATAAGTTTAAGCTAAATTGTTACCAAATTTGGAAAGGGGTCATTCTTTTTGGAACGCACCAAAAAGGAAATAGGTTCCAAAAAGAATGACCTCTTTCTAAATTTGGTAACAATTTAGCTTAAACTTACAATTCTACCCTTAATGAGAAGCTTTTATAACCACACAAATACTCTGGGCTCCTTTTTGACTTGTTTAGGNCTGGGCTCCTTTTTGACTTGTTTAGGACCACAAATTTCAAAAGTCTTCATTTTTTTCTTAAACTTCGTGCCCAGTCAAACATGTTCACATAAATTGGAACGGAGGGAATATTATTTTTGAAAATTCCGACCGAATCAGTGGCACATTTGCGACCGATCACAAATCAGCTGTTTTTTAGTAATGATCATGGTAAGTCCTCATCCCGTATTGCCAATTATTTGAAAGAATACAAACATAGAATCCTAAATAAAAGCAGGAGGTTAAATTTAACTTCAAATCCATTTTCTGAGTTGTTCTTAGTGTTTGTTTTAATTGTTTCTTCTGCATTTTCTCAACGTTCTTTAATTATATGTTGATTTTAGCTACTTTATCGTGCAAAACACATTTGACTTTTAACGAATCCAATCTTAATTATACAAAGTGGCTTATAACAATTCGTTTTGGACTCCAAAGTACTTGGGCATTTCATGTTTGACTTTTCGCTTATTTATTACTCCAGTATATTACATTCTATATAACATTATTATGATCCTTGCATAATTATGGATCGGAGTTTACGAATCGTTGATAAAGAAATTGAGCTGTTTTTTGAATTCTTAGCCATAATCTTATTTTGTTTCTTTTCTGTACAGGCTGGTAATAGAAGAGAATGTTGTGACGTTGTGCAACCCATTGGAATGGATTCGATGGCTATCAAACTTAGGACTTGTATGACACATGAAATTATTGCCTAAGCGAAAAATATCATATAGTATGCATCAACAAGTTTAGCTAGAAGAAAGAGATAGACGCAGTTGTAGTAATTTCTTTTTTGGAGTGTATTTTTCCTCTATTGCGGTTTCGTGAACGGAGATATTTGACATTTACATGTTCCTGAAAATAAGTTGGCCTAAGAGAGTACTCCCTGTTCTTTCTTTTATGTCATTTCCCCTTATCTATACAGCTGAAACTAGTATTAATCCACCGCCAACTACGGGTGGATGTATCTATATGTTGTTAGGACCGAAAAAGTCAGGTGTCATGCAGAAGCTAGTAAAGCAACACTTGGACGACGATTAATCAGATAACAAAAGAGAAATATACTAAAAGATACACAAACATTTTAACGTGGTTCGGTCAATTGACCTACGTCCACAGCGGAGATGAGCAATCCACCATATAAAAGTGAGTACAAAATGTCGAGACAACAACCTCACGAAGAGGCAAACACAAGTGACACACTAACACTTGTCCCGTAACAATGTTGAAAATAACGAGAATAATGTTGCTGCTATTGTTCAAGTCTTTTTGCTTTTGATGAAAACGTCATCAATTTGGTATCCCATGAGACGAGCTGGATAGTAGATTCTGGAGCTACCTCACATGTCACACCAAGAAAAGACTTTTTCTCATCACATACTCCTGTTGATTCTGGAGTATTAAAGATGGGCAATGCCAGTGAAGTTAAGGTGTTTTGTTTTGGCACAATTTATTTGAAAACTAATAATGGTTCAACGTTAGTTCTTCAAGATGTCAAGCATGCTCCTTGCAGAGTCAACAAGATGCAATAGCACAACTCTAAAATCAGAATCATGCACCAAGGAGGATCGAGCTCGAGCCATCACTAGAAGTTATTCATAGAGCCGAATCGGTGCCAAAGAGATCGAGTGAAAGAGAATCAAAAACTAATCCCTCTATCGTAAAAATGCTCGAGGAACTGACGAAGCGGATCAAAACAGGGGAAATCGAGGAAAATGATAAGAAGGTGGAAACTTATAACTCCAGGGTCGACCAAATCCCGGGGCACCACCGGTATTGAAAGGACTTGATTCCAAAAATTTGTCCAAAAACCTTTCCTCCCAAGTGCGGCTCCAAAGCCAATCCCAAAGAAGTTCCATATGCCCGAGATTCCGAAGTATAACGGGACGACAAATCCAAACGAGCATGTCACCTCTTATGCATGCACCATTAAGGGAAATGACTTGGAAGATGATGAAATTGAATCTGTGTTGCTAAAGAAATTGGGAGAAACTCTATCAAAAGGTGCTATGATATGGTATCATAATTTACTACCTAACTCTATTGATTCATTTGCTGTGCTTGCAGATTCCTTTGTAAAGGCACACGCTGGAGCCATTAAGGTTGCAACTAGAAAGTCGGACCTATTCAAGGTGAGTCAAAAAGACAACGAGATGCTCAGAGAATTCGTATCTCGATTTCAAATGGAACGGATGGATTTGCCACCGATCACCGACGATTGGGCTGTTCAAGCCCTCATTCAAGGTCTCAACAAACGATGTTCCATAGCTTCGCAACAGTTAAAGCAGAATTTGATCGAATATCCAGTCGTCACTTGGTCCGGTGTACATAATCGATATAAGTCAAAGATTAGGGTCTAAGACGATCAACTGGGGGCTCCGATTAGTTCAATTTATCCTAAAAGGCCCGTGGACAGAGTTAAAAGGGATGTCGATCGGGAACCACGATCGAACAGAGACCGAAATCAGCCATAAGAGAGAGATCGGAGAAATAACGGGTCTGGACACAACCCTGTTCGGAATGACAAAAGGAATTATCGGGGACAGAGTTCCCGAGGACTCATGAGAAAGAGTGGCTACGATAGGGATACCGGGTCCAAAGAAGCACCTCGATTGTCAGAATGTAACTTCAGCGTAGATGCTTCCGCCATAGTATCAGCCGTTGGGCGTATCAATGATACGAGATGACCTTGACCTCTGCAGACCGATCCGGCCCAGAGAAACCCAAACCAAATATGCAACTATCATGGCACCCATGGCCATAAAATAGAAGATTGCAGACACCTAAGAGAGGAAGTAGCCCGATTATTCAACAAGGGGAACCTTCGAGAATTATTAAGTGATCGAGCTAAGAACCACTTCAAAAATGGAGATTCAAACATACAAAATGAGCATGAAGAGCCACAGCATGTGATTCACATGATCGTTGGAGGAGTCGATGTTCCTCAAGGACCGGTATTTAAATGCGCCAATGTGACGATCACAAGGGAAAAACGAACTCGGGACTACTTACCGAAAGAGACCTTGTCTTTCAACGACGAAGATGCAGAAGAGATTGAACAAACTCACAACAATGCACTGGTAATATCTATACATATGAATAAAATTCAAGTTAAATGTGTGTTGATTGATCCAGGTAGCTCAGCCAACATTATTCGATCAAGAGTCGTAGAGCAACTCGGCCTACAAGATCAAATTGTGCCTGTAGCTCGAGTTAATACTTCCATAATTCAACCGGAATTTCATCTGGCCCGATCACACTGGCGCTACTCATCTTACGCATAGCTCCCACGACCTCATCAACCTTGATGCGCCTGCAGTACCTGAAGTCACGGTGACTCTCGAAATGCTCCAGTTTACCTAGCACAATATCCTGATCCCTTCTTCATTCAGAAGTTTATGAATGTAAGTTTGCCATCTCCTCTTAATCTGGGCATCTTCCATCAATACTCTACCATCCTCGTCCTTGATACACCTCACTTGATCCAAATCCCGATCCTTTATCCCTCTAGTCTTGGACAGCCGGAATAACTTCTTCTCCCGCCTTTTCCCCGGTTCCTCGTACATACGACCATAAGTCGCAATCTTAGCTTCCGTGACAGCCAGCTTAGCTTCTTTCCTAGATACCTTATACCACTCCATGCACGCTCTCCTCTCCTCCTCACATGTGCTCCCTACTAACGTCAGGTACGCCGCCTTCTTCGCTTCAGCTGTACCTTGGACCACTTCNAGCGTAGATGCTTCCGCCATAGTATCAGCCGTTGGGCGTATCAATGATACGAGATGACCTTGACCTCTGCAGACCGATCCGGCCCAGAGAAACCCAAACCAAATATGCAACTATCATGGCACCCATGGCCATAAAATAGAAGATTGCAGACACCTAAGAGAGGAAGTAGCCCGATTATTCAACAAGGGGAACCTTCGAGAATTATTAAGTGATCGAGCTAAGAACCACTTCAAAAATGGAGATTCAAACATACAAAATGAGCATGAAGAGCCACAGCATGTGATTCACATGATCGTTGGAGGAGTCGATGTTCCTCAAGGACCGGTATTTAAATGCGCCAATGTGACGATCACAAGGGAAAAACGAACTCGGGACTACTTACCGAAAGAGACCTTGTCTTTCAACGACGAAGATGCAGAAGAGATTGAACAAACTCACAACAATGCACTGGTAATATCTATACATATGAATAAAATTCAAGTTAAATGTGTGTTGATTGATCCAGGTAGCTCAGCCAACATTATTCGATCAAGAGTCGTAGAGCAACTCGGCCTACAAGATCAAATTGTGCCTGTAGCTCGAGTTCTTAACGAGTTCAACATGGCAAGTGAAACCACCAAAGGGGAAATTATCTTGCCGGTAAACGTGGCCGGAACCACACGGGAAACGAAGTTCCATGTAATCGAGGGTGACATGAGGTACAACGCCCTGCTCGGGAGGCCTTGGATCCATAACATGAGGGCGATACCCTCAACCCTTCACCAAGTTTTAAAGTTCCTGACATCCGAGGGAATCAAAATGGTATACGGAGAGCAGCCCGCCGCCAAGGAGATGTTCATAATCGATGAGGTGATACCGGTGTCAACACTTTCATCAACAAAGAGATCGAACTCAAAGGGAAAGTAGGAAGTCAAATAGCAACCTCAATCACCAGCTTAAGACCGATCGGAGGAGCAGGAAACTTTTAAAGATGATGATTATATGATACCTCGAACCTTCATAATCCTCGATTATTCTGACGCAAGAAAGTCGACGGTCGAAGAGGTAGAACAAATCATACTGATCGAGCATCTGCCCGATCGAAAGGTATACCTGGGCACGGGGTTAACTCCCGAGCTCAGGAAAAAACTTGTTCAATTCCTTTTAGATAACATAGATTTTTTTGCTTGGTCCCATGTCGATATGTAAGGGATCCCACCAGAGATCACTACCCATCGATTAAGCGTGGACCCGAAGTTCCATCCAGTAAAGCAAAAGAGAAGGCCCCAGTCTGAGGTTAAGCATGCATTCATCAAGGACGAGATAACCAAACTTCTCAAAATAGGGTCCACTCGGGAAGTAAAATATCCCTAATGGTTAGCAAACGTAGTGGTAGTCCCTAAGAAGGGAAATAAACTTAGAATGTGCATAGACTATAAGGACTTGAACAACGCCAGCCCTAAGGACTCTTGTCCTTTACCGAATATCGATCGCATGATCGATGCCATGGCCGGCCACGAGATTCTCAATTTTCTCGATGCCGACTCCGGGTACAATCAAATACAGATGAACCTAGAGGATAAGGAAAAGACTTCGCTTATCACTAAATATGTCACTTATTGTTATAACGTAATGCCGTTCGGATTGAAGAATGCTGGTGCAACTTATCAATGCCTAGTAAATCGAATGTTCGAAGAAAAAATAGGTAAATCTATGGAAGTTTATATTGATGACATGTTAGTTAAGCCCCTGCGAGCAGAGGACCATTTGAAACATTTGCAGGAGACTTTCGATATAATAAGGAGGTACAACATGAAACTCAACCCAGAAAAGTGTGCATTCGGGGTTGGCTCGGACAAGTTTCTCGGCTTCATGGTGTCAAATCGGGGGATCGAGATCAACCCCGATAAACTCAAAGCTATTGAAGATATCAAAGTCATGGATAATGTGAAGGCCTTGTAAAGGCTGACCGAGCGCATAGCCGCCCAAGGGCGATTCATTTCGAGGTCCTCAGATAGAAGTCACCGGTTCTTCTCGCTACTTAAGAAGAAGAGCAATTTTGCATGGACCCCGGAATGCCAACAAGCCTTAGAAGAACTAAAACGATACTTGTCAAGCCCTCCACTACTTCACACCCTAGCGGACGAGCAACTCTACTTATACTTGGAGGTCTCGGAAATAACGGTGAGTGGAGTCCTAGTTCGAGAAGAGCAAGGTACGCAAATCCCTGTTTACTATGTTAGTCGGACCTTAGGTGAGGCCAAGACCCGATATCCACACTTAGAGAAATTAGCGCTTGCTTTAATAAGCGCCCGAGGAAATTAAAACCATATTTCCAATGTCACCCAATATGTGTTGTAACTACCTATCCCCTTCATAATATTTTGCATAAACCCAAATTTTTGGGGTGATTGGCTAAATGGGCCGTGGAACTCAGCGGGTATGATATTGAGTATCAACCCCGAATAGCCATCAAGTTCCAAATCTTGGCGGACTTCGTTGCTGACTTTATGCCAGCCTTCGTACCTGTGGTCGAAAAGGAACTGCTATTAGAATCGGGTACATCATCGGGGGTGTGGATCCTCTTCACGGACGGTGCTTCGAATGTGAAAGGGTCCAGACTGGGCATCGTTTTGAAGCTACCCATGGGTAACATAATTAGACAGTCTATCAAAACTTCGAAGTTAAATAACAATGAGGCTAGTATGAGGCAATGATTGCAAGTCTCGAGCAGGCTAAAAGATTGGGAGCAGAGATCAACGAGGCCAAATGTGATGCCCTACTTGTGGTAAACCAAGTCAATAGAACTTTCGAAGTCCGAGAAGATCGAATGCAAAGATACTTGGAAAAGCCACAGGTAACTTACATCGATTTAACGAGTGGACCTTACAACACATACCTCGAGAATAAGATAGCGAGGCCGATGCCCTTGCAAACTTGGGGTCATCGGTCGAAGATGACGAGCTTAACTCGGGGACTCCGGCTGAATCCCCCTCTTGGGCCCCGTCAGATCGAGGCAGAATATTTCCAATTTCGACTGATCTGATGGCCTTTTGACCCTCGATATTAGCTCGTGTTTGAGCCACCAGACGGGAATCATCCTCCTTTTCTTCTTCTTCCTCCTCCTCTCTTAGGAGTTGAACTGACTCCGTGGACAGGGGAATCACATCCTTCTTGGACTTTCGAGCCGCTTTATTATTAGGCTTTGGCCCTTTGGAGGTCGCAGCCCTTTTCCTCTTGCTTTCCTTTTTTGGCTTCAGGGCAGGGGGTGAGTTTTCTTCTTCACCAAACGGGGGCCTCATCGGCACATCCTTTCGTAGACCTGCAAAAGAAAGACAAGTAAAATCGAGGGAAAATCCGAATAACGATCAATATTGTCGAGACGTGCAAAAATTTATCGTGGTTTTGGGCCTCCCATCGACCTTTCGACAACTTGCGCCATGCGCGCTCAGCTGTTTCGATGTCGACACTAGGTTCCTGACACAGTTCTCGAGATGGGGGATCGCACATGGCATCCAGGCAACTACTGCACCAAATAAAACGCTGGTAAGAAAAGATGAAAAGGTGGAGATAATAAATAGAAGTTAAAAGATGTAATTATACTTATGTTTCACATTCCATTTCTTCGGAAATGGCATGTTTCGGCCGGGATCAGGTCCGAGATTTTTACCCGAACAAATCGGCCCATCCAATCCCGGTCCTTGTCCTCATCTATGCCCAAGAAGGCTGCCTTGTTGGCCCGATGCTGAAGCTTTACTAATCCTCCCCAATAAAGTCGAGGGCTATACAGCCGTATGAGATGGTCGAGTGTGAAGGGAAGTCCCTCGACTTTGCTCACAAAAAATCGAAGCAATATCACTATCCTTCAAAAAGAAGGATGAATTTGGCCGAGGGTGACCTCGTACTTCTTGCAGAAGTCCATGATAATTGGATCTAGAGGACCCAATGTGAAGGGGTAGGTGTAAACACTCAGAAACCCCTCCACATACATAGTGATTGACTCTTCAGGCGAGGGCACCACCACATGCTATTCTACCCAGTTGCAATCCTTTTTAACTTTGTTTAAAAGGCCACTCGTAATTGTGCATAAGTACCTCGGAATCGGCTCATACCGAGGGGGTCTTTTCAAAATTGAAATCGCAGTCAAGGACGCACGGCGGAGGAAAAAATTCTTCAGGGCGTGGCTCCGCCGCTGGTTGATCGCCGGCCGCCTTAGAAGAGGAATATTTTTTGTGATGACCCAAAAGGTCATCTTACGTTTTAGAACTCGATTCTGTGTTTCGAGGCCTTCAAAATCTCATTTTTATTCTCCTCGTTTGCAAAAAGCTTTATGTGGAAATTTGAGAAAAACTATAATTTTTCCTCAAAAAGTTAATTTAATTGGCTTCGGTCAACATTTTGAGAAGATTTGCAATTGCAAAGATTTCTTCGAATTTGCGAAGTAAAGCTGGGAAGGGCAGTGATCGAATTGCGATCATTTTATCGCATTTGCAGAGGTTCATGTTCGCAATTGCGAAGGCATCAGAGGTGTGAGGGTTCTCGCATCTGGGATGGTACCTTCGCATTTGCGAGCTTCGCAATTGCGAAGCTCAGGTCGCAAATACGACATCTGCAGCTGTGTAAAAGGGACTTAGACGGGGTTATTGATTCATTTCCCAAATTTTCAAAACCTAAACCTCAAGAGGAGATTTTCCAAAGGCTATTTCCCCAAATCATAAGTAAACGATTCTTAACTCATTTCTTTCAATCTTTCACTTCTTATAATAAGATTTCAACCTAGAATCTAGAATTTTCATAGTGGAATTAGGGATTTTTAGGTAGAAACTAGGGATTTCAAAATTTGGGGATTTAGACCTAAAATTAAGGTCGGATTCCAAAACCAATTGTATATCCGGTCTCGGGGTGAATGGATAATCGGGTTTTGGTCCGAGTTTTGGGTTTGGACTAAGCGGGCCCAGGTGTTGACTTTTTTTGACTTTTTCTAAAATATCCTAATTGAATTCCTTGCAATCATGGGTAGTTCCTAAGGCTTAAATTGAAT